TAGTTATTTTCCTCTTCAGCATTTGACACACAGTCTAGAGTTTAAAATGGGCTTTTGCTGGAAGTTTATGCCATAGGATTCTGTTTTAGACCAGGTAACAGCAGCTTTAGCTCGCTAAGCCCCGTAAGCCAATGTTATTTGCACTAGTAATGGTAAGTCATGCCATCAGTGGATTGATGAACTGTCATTTGATGCTGACACCCGAATCATAAACTCTGTTTTGTCTATCTTGATGTCTCTGTGTGCTTTATAGCGAAGCAGCCGACCTGAATCGCTTGTTCTTTATACAACTTATGAAACTTGAGAGCACATCCCAGTGGAGATCCGGCTGTGCTTGCTTACATTTGGTTCATGACTTAAAAAATCAAGTTCAGGTGATAACATCTTGGCAGTGTGTCTAGTGTCATTTCCTTTTCTTGTAGTATTGTGCACTTGATGCTTTTGTTAAGGGACCTCATGTGTTAGCTTCCGCTGACAAAGCGAGTACTGATGTCAGTGCAAATGTAAAAAGAAAGTTTGACTTTGTGGGTCTGTCTATGTGTGGCGCGAGAAGCGTGGCACGGTTTGATTGTGCCGTTTCCGTCCTGCAGGAGTGATTCCTGACGAATCCAAGGCTCTGTCGCTGCTGGCTCCAGCCAATGCCGTCGCAGGATTGCTGCCAGGAGGCGGGCTCCTCCCGACGCCCAACCCCATGCCATCTGTGAGTGTCAATCGGTGTAACCCGAGACCATCGGCCGCTCTGCACTAGCTATGCTTCCATACAATGATTCGAATTAAACTTATGTGCAAAACTGGAATATCGCATGAAACATCTGCGAATAAAGCACCGTTTCCATCCAACGACTCAAAGAGAACTAAATCGTCACATCAAAATAGTATCAAAAGTAAAGAAATAGTATTAAAATAGTATCAAAAGTAAAGAAATAGGATAAAAAAATGTTTTGAAATAGTATCAAAATACTGAAATGGTATTAAAAGTACTGAAATATTATCCAAATACTGGTATATTACCAAAAAGTACTAAAAAAATTATTGAAATAGTATCAAAATACTGAAATGGTATTAAAAGTACTGAAATATTATCCAAATACTGATATATTACCAAAAGTACTAAAATGGTACCAAAAGTACTGAAATATTATCAAAAGTGCTAAATTAGAATCAAAAGTACTGAAATAGTACCAAAAGTAAAGAAATAGTATCCAATGTATCTAAACAGTATCAAAAGTATTAAAATGGCAGCAAAAGTACTGAAATAGTATCAAAAGTGCTGAAATAGGATAGAAATAATTGATATATGATAAATGACTTGTGCCTCGGAGCGAGCAGACGAAACGATAAATGCAGTCATTGCTTTCGGAGGCGGATGCCTGTTATTTGTGAGCGCAGTCGTGTAAGACAATTATACAGAAATACTTTGACGGCAGACTTTGCTCCGGCATTTTAGAATGACCGTAACGCTTCAGATGCTGTGAACGAGATCGGTCCGCTGGTCAAAGTTATCCCAGTCTCGTAACTTTTTCGGTGCACATGAAAAAGCGCATTATTCAGTAAATGTGTTTCCATCGTAGTTTATGCACGTTTTTTCATATTGGATCAAGTTTATCCTACTATCCGTTTTTTTATGCACATCTTGGTGTCTCCATCCAGCTTTTTTTTTTTTAAATGCGATATTCCGAAATGCGCAAACAATAGGTGGATGGAAACATAGCTGCTGTAATGATGCTGATGTTTTGTCTGTCCTCAGATTGGCGGCGTTCCTCTAGGTCTAGGAGGGCCGAACTTGGACCCCATGGCAGCTCTGGCCATGGCGGCACCCAATATAAACACTCAGGTTTGACTCCTTTCGGCTCCATCATCAATGGCTCTGTTTGTACACCGGATCTGCTAAACTCTTTACTAATCGTTGATGTTTTCTTCTTAGTCTTTGTCAGCTGAGCAGCTTATGAAGCTTATGGCATCCATAGACCCCAAGTAAGTCCATCAATATTATCAAACATCTACTCATCAGGGG